GTGGCTCCTTCAGAAACTTCAGTGTGTCCCCAAACGACAGCATCATGAGACATGGAGGGCAGAAACACTTTAGGCAGAAGAAGAGATTCACAACTATATTTTATTACCAATAAATGCAAAAGACATTTGATAGAACAATACCATGTAATTGTCCAAGATTTCCTTTGAATTCAGATATCTGAGAATTCTTCTACTACTTGCCAAGTTGAATTGCCATTTCTTCTAATGAATGGATTTCTCTCTTAAATATATTTTGTCCTTTTTTATGTGTAGAGATGCATGTATATAGATGTGAAAGGGAGTTTTAACTATATTGTTATAAAAGAAGACAAACAAACTGTAAAGGTGCAAAATCAAGTCAGTTCTGAGGGAAAGGAGCACTTGGGGAACTCAGGGAGGAAATGTGTCTGGGACTATACAGCCTACGTGTTTTATTCTATGTAAGGGAGGATTTGCTTTGTAAAAATTAAAAGGGCAGTAAGTCCTTAAAAGTGTTGCTGCCTATAAACAGACTTTATTACTGAATTTCCCTATGTCATTACTAAATATAGTAGTAACTAAATTTTATATTAAGCTAAAATTCTTTTAATAAAACTCATGCGGACTTTGTCAGATAATGCTTTTGACATTTTGCATCTTACAATATTGTTTCAATTCTGAACCTCTCTAACCTGGACAATTTTCCATTTCCTTTTTTTCTCTCATGCTGTTCTTTTACTTCCAGAAAGCTGCTCAGTTCAGGAAATTTTTTTACTTGCCCTCTTGGGTACATCAGAGATAATGTAAATCCCCGTTCATGTTTTCTGCTATTATGTTTGTGTAAACTAAGTATATTTCTATAGAGCATGCATTTAGCATTGCTGTGCTTATTCATATTGATGTTTTTTCCCAAGACGGTGTGAGTAGTTACTCAGCTTCATAATTACCATGAATATAATGAATAATTATTCACATTGCATACTGTTTCATTTTCAAAAATGTTAAAAATTCCCTCGTATGCATACTATTACATGCCTTTTAAATCATGATCACTTCTTTGCTATGTCTCACACAATGCATTTTGTTGCAGCAAACACAGAACAGTTTGCATATCAGACTTTTCTGTAGGTCAAACAAAAGTAATTATGAGTTAATATTTCCTGCTAGAGATGATCACATATGTTTTCCTTTGATGTATTAAACCGTGGCTATTTTTTGCCAACTAAAGTTTTGTAAGAACTGTCTGAAGTTCATCTCTTGGCATATATCTAAACCTCACCCTTTAAACAGTGAGCATCATGAGGTCAGTCATTTATTATGCACTTGATGTGATAATCCATTAAGTATCCCAACAATTGCTTGTGTGCATGCTACTAATCTGTAGCTGCAAAGCAGAGATGGATCATCCTGTCATAGAAAGACAGCCTCAGTGCTTGGCACAGATAAAATGAAGTGCACCCAGTCAGAAATTTAAGGATGCTAATTAATACAAAGGTTATTACATGGATATTGTGTTCCTCATACCTGTAAATAATGTTCACTTAGGTTGCTTTACAGTATTTTTCTAAAATGGCTAAAAAGTGTAGGCCTGTTCTTGTTTTTTATTATTCTTTCTGTTTGAGCAGACAAATCTATTGCTCATAAACTCTGACAAACAGACAGAATTCTTACTCCCTCCTGAGGGAGGGAGTCCATGAACATCATCATAAAGGGCATCGTATTTTTTAATATATATATAACCTTTTCTGTATGCAGTACAACTTCTTCCACTTCAGGTAGTGCCACTACAGTTTTATTAAAACAGAACTCCTGGGGAATATTAGCGAAAGACAGAAGTTTCATCTCAAGAAGGACTGCAGGATTGCACCCTTGTAAGAAATGAAAGAGCTTGAAAGGAAATTTTGTAAAACTGCAGGAATGAGAGCCCTGGGATCTCAATCCTGCTTCCAGTGTTGGCCAAGCAAAAGAGTTTTGTTTCCATTTGTTCTCCTGTGGACTCTGAATCTTTCCTTGCTCAGCTGCCCAGCTTCAGTGAGAGGAATGAAGAATGGAGGATAGGAGTTGAATCCAAACAGGCTGAATGAGGCATTTCCTGAGTGCACGTTGTAATTCCTTATTTGCTGATACGCAAAAATGGAGGACCATTTCTTCCTCTAGATACAATTTGAAACAACAAATTCAGTGTAGTCTGAAAGTGCATGAGGTGTGTTTGTGGAATTGTCCCTTTCAGAGCTGCAGTGCTTTTACACGCCTCCCTGTTAGTCTCACCAGAGGTTAAGCTGGTCACCCTCATGGCTGCAAGTGGCATGGTGGATTCTCAGGTTTAGACCTATGAACATTAGGTGCAAAGCTGAGATAGTGAGGGATTCTGAGACTAGATCATGTTGGAAAACCAGTGATCAAAATTACTCTGAGATCCAGGAGTAATTTGTCCTGCATGCAATCAGTTGTCTCCAGTCACTCAACTGTATTCCATTTTACTCTGCTCTTCCTCAATTTTGTAAACGGTCTTTCTCTCCTAAAACTTATACTCAGTGAAAAGCCAGTCATAGCTTCACATGTACTTCTTTTCTCTGTAATCATTTTCTCTCCCTCCTTTAGAAAAATAACCTCATTTTCTTCCTAGAGACTATACAAAGGGTTGTTTTGTGTTTTGTTTTGTTTTTTTTTATTTGTATAATTCTGCTTTACAATACTCAGAAGGTTTTGGCATTCACCGGTAGGTAAACAGATGAGTTTGTTGTTACTTACTTCCATAACTGAATGTAATGTTCCTTATCATTACCCTTCAAAAGCTTCTTTATAGTATTTTTACAATTTTCAGAAGATAGCTCTATTTTTCATTATTTCCCATAATTCACATTTCTCTGACCTGAACTTTTATTCAAAAAAAAAAGAGATATCCTCTAAAAACCGCAGAACCAAAGAGAGTAAATCCATAGAGAGCACTTATCTTTCAAAAAAAGATAAATTACTCCTCTACCATTCAGTTGTCTGAGAATAACTCCTACTATACACCCACACGCTCCCTTGAGTCTCTGAATGGGATTGTTTAGGTGTTTTCATTAGGGGGTAAATGGAATTAGAATGCATCCTTTATAGGAACCATTTAAGTGGCGTCAAAGGTTAAAATATGACCATATTAAAGAAAATGGAGCTAACCTGGAATGATGATATCACTTGACTTCTCTCTAAATACATAACAGAGATGACCTTGCATAACTTTAAAATGTGTATATGGCAAACTACACAGCATCCAGAAAGCTACACGTCAGCGTTTCCCACATTAGATGCAATTTGAGGCAGTGTCTGCATGAGGAAAGCAATATGTCATCTCCGCTATGCTGCATCTTACTTTTGCTTCTTTGGGAAGTGAAAATGGGATGGGGCTGCTCAGCTTGTCCTTTTCAGCAGATTTAGGATTGTGTAACTACCACCAGGCCAGAGCTTGCAAGGTGAAAGAAGATGATGGTTTTCCTGCAGGCTTCCTCAGCAGCTGAGGAGTTACACAGGGCAGTCACCTCTTCTTCTTGCACCAATCAGCATCCCTCCACAAAACAGCCTGGGCGTGGAGGCAGGCAGAGGGCAGGTAAATCCCAGTTTACCACAGGACATGGAAATTTGTTGGCCAGTTCAGAATCTGACTCTTGGATTTGCTTTTTCTGGGTTGTCTCTCCTCCATGGCCAAGGAGGCCTGGGCAACACTTGCCACTGCCAGCCATGGGAAGCTTTACAGCACCTGTGGGCAGCATCGTCTCCCACCCCTCATCCACAGTTCGCGATGTGTTACAGCCATCATTCATACAGCGTCTTTTGAGATTCTGAAAACTTCAATATTTTTTCTGTTGTAAAAATGCCACTGTATATTTGCGTAGTCATTTTCAAGTGCACTGACATGTTTGGTGAGTGGATGACCTGTTTGTCAATGATAAGCAGCAATCCTTATCATGCAAGTGGGTGCCTTCGTCAGTGTCATGAGTTTAAAATGTAGTGGAAAAAAAAGTAGATCAAAGTATTTGTGAAGAATAGCCTTCCAACTACAAACATATAATCCTGACTACATTTATCCAATAGCCTAAGATGGCAATGGAGTTGAACAGTTTACATAAAATAAGAACTACCTCCATTCATCCAAGTGACTCTCTGAGTCCCATCAAATTCACAGTGTTCCTTCTTGGCTGTTCTCAAAAGAATGTGTGGCAAATTGTCTATCCTCTAAAATGACAACAAAGCAGTTGCATATTAAACTACGTGCTCAAATTGATGTCATTCTCCTAAGCAGGTTACGAGCTCCAACTGACCCTTATCTTGAAATAATTTGAAAGTATAATTTAATCTGTGCAATGGACTCAGTGGGTTTCCCTCACATTTGATGAGACCACGTACATATGATTACTCAGCGTGCCCAGTTACTGCTCAAATTTTTATTCATGGAAGCTTGGAAAAGCACTTTTTTCAGGAAAAGTAATTAAGCAAAAACTTTATTCCAGCTATGTACTGAAAAGTGGAAACAGGAACAGGTACCATGAGAAAAGTATGAGGAAGCTGCTAGGCTGTGTAGGAATGGGGTTAGGAAAGCCAGGGCCCAACTTGAATTAAACTTGGCAAGTGGTGCCAGGAACAACCCTGATGGGCAGTCGGACTTCACAACTGCTCTCACTCCCTTGACTTAAGGGAAGAGGAGAAAATGAGATGAGGAAGGGCTCAAAGGTTGGGATAAGGGCAGGAAGATTGCTCAACAATTACTGTCATGACCAAACAGACTGGAGGAGTTTAATATAATTTATTGTCTATTACTAATAGAAGGGAGCAGTGAGAACTAAAACCAGATTGAAAACACTTTCCCTCCATCCACCCTCTTCTAACTCTTCACCCTGAGCACCGCAGGGGAACTGACAGAATACTGACATTTCAACCACAAAAGCAGAATGGTCTCTTGTGCAATTTTTTTATTGCTTAATAATCATGCTAATTATTGGCTTGTACACCACTGCACTTAGACAACACGCTGTCTTTTCTAGGTAACGTTCCGGACGAGGATCTATCACTGTAACATTAACAGCCAAGGCGTCATCTGCCTGGACATTTTAAAAGACAACTGGAGTCCAGCATTAACCATTTCTAAAGTTCTCCTCTCCATCTGCTCCCTCCTCACAGACTGCAACCCGGGTAAGACAAATTCACTTTCATACATTTGCATTCATTTGCAGTTCATAGTCTGTCAGCATTTAGGATGTGGCTGGTGCACTCTTTTTCAGCTCTGTTTTAAAAAAAAGACCAAAATTTAAGTTTCAAATTCATTAGAATTGATGCACAGTAAAGAAAGAAGACACAATGTTAAGACCTCTTGCATTTTTAGTAGTTGGAAATAAAAATCTGTTAATTCAGAAAGTTTAATCAGGGGAAAATACTTTGTAGTACGCTACAGCCAGGACATTAGTACCAAAAATATGAATGAGTTAATAAATATTGAAAAAGAAAACTTTCATTTAAATACGCTGATAGTATGGCCTTGAAAAGAATATTAACAGTAGCAACAGTGATGGATGTCTAACACAGAATCTACAAATAATGAAAATTAATTTGAATGAAGTTTATTCAATATCCTGGACAGCCTGTATGAGCAATCAAAGCAAGCTGTCATACATATTAACTCGCATAGCACTTAACCTATTCCCTCGGCTGTTTTAGATTTGTTTTCTGCAATTGACCACTAGATCTGTAATTTCCACTTTCTCTTAAGCAATTTGCCAATGAATTGTTCTGATTGCAGCCTTCAAAATTTGTAGTATATAGACATTAATAAGAGTCATTTAAAGAAAAATTAAGAGATCTGTTTATGCATCTAAATGTTCTTGAGTTTGTTTTTTTATTGTACACTTAGTTTTGCTATATTATGATTAATTACTATCTAGGTTTTTAAGCTTTAGGTTTCCTGTTTCTAAACTTCTCTCCCCAGCCAAAAGGCTAAAAAAGTGCATTTCAAAGGGTGGAATGTGAGATTCTTGTGTAATTAGGGGCTGAGTCACATGCTGTAACAGAAGTCTGAATTATTTCAGAGCTTCAGATAAGGTGAAAGTCAACTTTCGATTGCAGTTGGCTGCACTTTTTCCATGTGGGTGTGTTACTGTGTGTAGCATTAATAACGGCAGTGTTCCTTCCAGCTGAGATCTGGAGGTGTTGAGGAGCTCTGTGGTACTGTTTCAGACACATTTACTTCTGCAGTGCTGGATGCTCTCGGCATAGCTCTACAGAAGGCAGACTCCTTGTAGCGCCCACCCCAACCTCTGCTGAGGTGCCTGTATGCAGTCAGGCAGAGTGGTGACATACAGATAGGAAATGGGTATTTGCTCAGGTATCTTAGAGACCGGATAAAGAGCTGATGAGACACTGCTGCAAAATCAGTAACTGTCTATTAGAAAATATAACCATTTCAGAAGTTAATAGCAAAGCTATGTTGTGAGTGAGAAACTGAAAATAGATGTGCAGTTGTACTCACCTGTTTATAGAAGCAAATCAGTGGCTTGAAAGCTTGCTAGCTCCAACCAGTGATGTGAAACTTGGAATTTTCCATCTCTGATCTCTCAGTCATTTTCATTCCCTTAGACCAGTTTACAGATGTTGTCAAACAGCAATGCCAACAGAGCAAGTAGTTGAGATGAACACTGAAAACTGTTACTCATAAGGTATTATCATGTGTAGCACGTTAACATTCTAAAAATCAGTAGTTACTCTTCAGTTTCTTTCAGTTAGTAGCCATAAGCATCATCATGACTTTGGTAAATAAAACGATTTTATGATATGTCATTTTCAATTTAAATGTGCTCTTTAAATACAAAGTGGTTGTGGGTTTTGTTACTGTGTCATGTTAAAACTTGCATTATTTTTGGGGGGGTGAGGAATTAATGTAATTTCTTTACTTATGAGTTCACCTCCTTTGAGGAACTGATGGCACTATCTGTGAACAAGAGAGTCATTTTTGCCTTCCTTTGAGACTACTTGCCTCGAGTTAGATAATTTTTTACATTAAAAAGTGAACTTCAAATTGTAGTGATGTGCAACAGAAGGCTTTTTACTTTTCAGTGTATCGCCTAATATGGTAGAGCCAGTTCTGGTTTGTCCCACTCGTTTTTATGAAATTTTATCATTAGCATATCATACCATCTAGCTGGAACATAGGTAGGTGGATAGGAAGGAAGGAAGGAAGGAAGGAAGGAAGGAAGATCACTGATCTCTATTTATCACTGAGATGCACACGGAAATATATATGCATATAATTTGCTCTCTGTCAGCCGGGAGTGATTTTCTAATCACCAAGCCCTCTCTTCATCGCACTGGTCTACCCCTTTTTAAAGGCAGCAGCCCAACAGGGATCCCAATTTGATAAGCAACTCTGAACTCTTTGTTCACCATTCATCAGTCAGAAGTAGATCAGGTCAGATGGAAAGGAAACACTGAGTCTTCCACAAACACAAACACTTGGGACGGGTAAGTTTTCCACCCCCAGCGCCTCTGAAGAATAAAGTATCGGTTACCCCCTAGCCTTACATTTATGCAAATCTTCATTAGAACAACAAATAGCAGTGAGAATGGCAGCTAATTAACCCTCAGTCATACACGGTGATTAAACTGAGCTGAAGCACAGCTGCAGCTTCGTTGGCAAGCGCTGCTATTCTTCTCCAGCAGGCTGAGCAAATGAAAAGAGGTAGTTGCTCCTGCCGCTTCTGTCATTCACACAGTCATCTGCAAAAGCCATTGAGAGAGTCTGTTTCGTCTGCGGTTATACACCACCGTCCTTTGTTTCCTATCACTCAAGGCAGGAGGTAGTTTGTCCTTTTTAAACAACTCGTACAATATTTTACTCATAAGCTGTCTTAGTCCCTTCAGTCCTGATTGTTATTAATTGTCTCTATTTTGCTTGGCACCATCAGGCAGTAAACTGTGTTAATGAAATGTCTGAATTTTGTAACAGCTGGCTGACTTTTTTGTGGGGGGAAGGGGTGCTGTAGTGTTTGTGTATGAGCGAACATGTGTGAATTATCTGTGAGTGCAGGAGAGCCAACTGGAATGATATCAGAGAGATGGGAGAGATGATGGGATGCACTAGCATTCAGTCTGGGGATTAGTACTTCTCTTTAAGGTGGTACTGTGGGGCACAGCACACCTCTTTTCCTTCAAAGCAGGGCCCCAGTCCTGTAAACGTTTTGGCATGTGCATGAGCAACCCTACGAAACCTGATACATGCCTTCATCTGCATAAAGCTGTGTGTGAGTAAGAGCTTGTAGGCTGTGTGCTTGAGTGATGAGCATATTTACTTCAGTGTTAGCCGCTAGGGCTTGCCTGCATGGGCAGTTAGTTATTCCAGAGTAACTCCATGTGTGTACCCTCCCTCTTTGAAAATGTATTAAGTCAGGAAAATCTGTCTTACTTGGAGCAAAAGTCAACTGTGCATTAAGTATGGAAGAGTAGCCTGGGGAGTATAAATTCCCACACTACCTTAATCCAAAATAGCTTTAAAGTGCAGATGGCCCCTGTGGATTTGCATTTTTACAGAGCTTGAAGTACAAAAACAAATTAATTATTTTTATATTTAGACAGCTGATGATGATGAGCTGGGTTAACATGTTTACTGTTCTCAGTTGGTCATTCCCATCACAGCCCTGCCAGAGGTTCTCAAGTCATATGGAAAATTCTCATTTGCAAATGCTTCAGAGAAAATAAATTGAAACACTGACGAGACTGCAATGGAACTTTTTCCTTTGCATGGCCTCCTTTTTCACACATGCAAAATTTGAACTTTGCTGGCCTGATTATCCCTGATGTCTGAACAGTCTAACGTCAAACCGCATCTGCTTAATAACACATGGCTAAGCCTTGATTAGGACATTAGAACAAAACCTGCTAAATCTCTCTCTTGCTTTTTTGTCATTGTTTTCTTCAAGTTACATACCATTTTTTCACATAAATGTTCCAGTGCCAGTGAGAATTTTATCCCTTGACTGCCCCATTGGCATTCTATACCAAGAAAACCGACCCTGATGGCCCAGTGTTGCTGTTGCCCCTGGTCGCTGTAGTGCAGCCTGGGCCCCATGGTCTCATTTGGGCACTTACAGGCACCTCCTTGCCTGTTTGTTTCTCTTCCCATTTTCACCACGATAATTTTTCTAGTTGTAACACCAACTGTAACAGTGGGAATTGGAGAAAGGAAAGAAAGAAAAGGAGAAAGGAACAAAGGAAGGAAGAAAAAAAGAAAGCGAAGAAACAAAGGAAGAATTGGGAAGGAAGGATTAACTTGTGGCAAAGTCAGTGAGCAAACTGACAGTAGTAACCATTTAACTGGAGTGACCACTAGCCGTGTTAGTTGTTGTGACTCTGCTCTTAGATGCTGCAACATGTTATGTTTGCAATGTAAAGCTGCTTGTCTCTTGTTATCCCTTAAATACTCCAGAAAGTGTTCAGTCATATTTAAAATTTGCTTTGAACATAGTTTCAGATGGAAGCATGCATGTCCTCAGTAGTAAGTATACATATAGAAGTAAATGAGCTGGAAGGATACCACTGCTTTACTTTCATGTGAGTCCCATCAATTTTTATAGGAGCTGCAGTTACTCAGCATGTCTGAAAAGCAGACTGCTGATGTTAAAAGGCTTTTCAATGCATGTTGTGGTACTCAAATATAATACCTCCATTAGACATATGCCTGCTGATTTTTACAAGTATTGCCATGAGTCAAGGCTTTAGTGGATGGTTTCATACGTTGTTGACCCACACTGAGTAACATGACCATGCAATGTCTTACATTTATCTAAGCTTAGATGAGCAGAGTCAAGCAACATCCTAGAGTTAGGGGATCCTTACTCATTTCACCTAGGGATGTGAGACATGCTTTCAAGCTTTCTTTGTATGAGTCATCCTTATGTTTTGCCTTTGTATTTCTCACAAACTTCATTGTTTTCATCACAGGATTGGTATAGTTGGCAGTTGCAGATAACATTATTTTTGCTTTTCTATTGCAATCATTAACTGTCCGTGTGATTTGGCATGATTTAGGTTGCTTAAATATCTTCTACTAAAAATATTAGCACCCTTACCAGCCATGAAAATGCTGGAACTAGCAATGGGAGGTAGTTCTCTCAATATATTTTTTCTTTTTTTTCTTTGTTGTTTTC